GAGCCTTTCTTGCGCCCCTCGTATAAAATATAGTCATTCCTGAAGTTAGCACTCATAATGCGATATGATGTGGAATTATAATATTTTGAAAATTCCTATTGGTTCAGAAGATATTTAACTGTCCCACTGGTCTAGGGACACCCTGTATAAGAACAATTAGGCATAGTAACAACTTTTTGATCCAAATATGAACCAACATCGCCTACATCAGCAGGATTCTAGAGGAACAATCTATCATAATTTTTGCAGACCAAATAGCATTTCCATCAGCAAGTTGCTGCCCAGATAAAATATTTCAATTTCACATTCAACTTTGTATGCTCTAATTGTTGTTAACATACGAATCTCTCTATATTCATCAATCATTCAACATTCTAAACCCCACATAATCATGTTCATAACAAACAATAAATTGGCGCTCTTTTAGAAGTCTGTTAGTCAAGGACATTCTTACGTTCGGGTACGTTCGCCTCCTCTGAAGGTGCTTGCCCTAGACTCTAGTTATTTGGTCCATGTAGATGGTCAGAGCCATCCAGCAGGTGAATATATTTTATTTGGCGAAAATACGTGAAGAATGCAACCCGGTCTGTCTCTATGGAATCTAACCCAATTAAAATCTAAGTGATGCATTGCTCTCCCTCCCGTCTAGAGTTACCAGAGGATTTCGAATGTTTGATATCATGATGAGAATCGTCATAAATCAGAGGCGAGTAGTCGGTAGACGAGAGAATGTTTGTGAATTGGAAAATTTTTCATTCATTAGTTAGGGAAGGAGTAGATCTACTCGTAAACCTGTTTGCAAGTCATAGAGGAGGATCATTGAGGTATTCGAATATGTTATATAGGACTTATATACGAATTAATTCAAATAAATAAATATGAAATGAATGAAAATTCGAAACAACACGAATATGAAAATTCACCTCTTTTAAGGTGCAAAAGATGAGCATCATATTACTATATCCAATGTACTGTGATCGTATAATTAAATGAACTCCTATCCTTTCTCAAGGCCCATTGATAATAATTTGAATTGCTAATACAATTACATACACTTCATCGTAAATCACCTTCGAAGTCCATTATAATTTGTACCAATCAAATGAAAAGTTACAACATCGATGAATAATTGACATATTATTAATTTATGGTGGTGTTATGAAATGACAATACACCTGTACGGCAAATCGCGTTCTTCCAGGTTACCAGGTTACGATATGAACCAATTTCATCTTTACTTACTCTATAACTTAAGGCGTCTTAGAGTGCCTATATACATATGTTTCCTAATGAGATGTGTATGAAATGAATTATTAGATTCGAGTGCCATTCCTGCGAATCTCGAATCAGAACAGTGAATTCGGGTTGATATAACAGAGGTGGCCATGTATTCATTGACTAGTTCATAAAATGACAAAAAACTACCCTGGTAGTGAAATCACACTTTACACCTTGAAAGGAAGTAAATAATGATATAGGTTCTATTGCTAGTGGTGGAAAAACATAACATAGTATGACAAGATCAAAACAGCCCTGTAATAGTATTGCAGATAGGTGGAGTACTCGTGAGACTTGCAGAATAGTTTAACAACGGTGACTAGTTCAAAAATGATGGGCTGTTATTGAGGCACTGATAAAGAAACTCAATGACTTATCTGTAATGGATACATCACTATGATTCCGGAATATCGATTCATAAGATGAACCGAACATAATTTTTACAAAGGAGCTAACCTTATTGGACAATTCTTGCATCTATATCTCACAAATTATCAGGTCCCTGCTCGGGTGCCAATTTGAAACACTCTTATTTTCAACGGCACACAGTGGCGCTTCCTGGGCCAAAATCTGTCTTTGGTAATCAGCTGCTGGCAGGGTATAATAAATTCCCACTGTTGGTATACAGAATATTCAAACAAACCTCGGGCAATAGCTTGTTATTGAGGTTATTTCAACTGTATTTTCGATTGGTATGCCAATCAACAAATCTTCACCATGGAGATAAGGTCGTTATCCCCTATGAGCAACAATGATGACGTTCTTCGTTTCGAACTCGATGACAACCACCAACTAATTAACCGACCAGAGAGTTCTGTCTGTGCGTGGCGCAGTGACATAAACATGGATTAGCCGTTTGAAGCTCTGATAGGATTGACGGTAAATTAATTGTGCCACATGACAGTGGATGGAGGCTTGTGCCAGAGACATCTCTCTGCAATCCGCTTTCGCTAAGCCGACTGGCGTTTGGCCTGGCCGCTTGGCGACTGGGATTACTTTCTTCTGGCGTATCGCACGCTGCCGTTTCATTTGTTCGTCGCCAAAAGATAAGCCAGCTTTTTTGTTGGCTTTGATTTTCATCGATGTAGATTTGATCTTGATCTCACTTTTCCCAGTTCTTGAATAGTACTATTGATAATGGTGGATTTTTACAGCAGTTTTTAGTTTGATGTCGTAAGTCTCGAGTCAGAAGTTGTTAGTGTTCAGTCTCAAATAATTAGAAAAGAAACGATAATTAATGGAAGAATCAAAATAGATCTTTTTATCCTTCAGTCCTCACAAAAGACATCTGTGTATTCGTATGATAAAGATGATAAACAAACAAACCCTACTGTTGAACAGCAGATACGCAAAACGAGGTAGTATAATGACGGGGGGGATGTAATTCAATGTTCTGTGTGGAAAATGGCAAAGAAAGTAGTTGTTTTTTTCTCGTTATCTACCATTCTCGTTCATTTTATGAGCTAATGCAGTAATGACGTTGAGTTTCTTCCTCTTTGTAATAATTGTTCTGTTAGAGAAAATACCTTATATCATCGTGAAGTCATAAATTAATATAATTTTTCAGCTAGTCCATCTTCTGTCTGTTCTGTACATTTCCGTATCATTCTCACTCTTGCCCACAACTTATGATAATATTAATGATATACTATCGTGATGTTCAGATTATGGAAAGCATATCAAGTGTCCGTCCACTTAATTTATTCACCACACAAACTGATGGGTATTTACGCCTGATATCGATGGTAGGATATTAATCTTCGTATGAAACTCGAAATGCTTTTACCTGCTGGGTATTTGCATTCTCATTATGTTTCAACAAGATCATAAAAGTGTTAAGCCCATCAATAATATTTAAAAACTCTCAATTTGTTATTTCAAATCAGCAAATGGATTAAATGACCACATATGTCATTAGCATTTTACTCGTCTAAAACATTACTTTTATTTGTTTCGATGAGTATTGATATATGTATATAGGTTGAGGTAATGATAAGCCATGAAATTATTATATTAACTCTTGCCTCCTCGTGAAAATAAAAGCGGTAAACATTTTCAGTTTATACTGTTATATATATATTCCTGAAAAATTACTTGTTGCAATCTAAACATTATCTGGTACGATAACCACAATTCACTATCCGAATAGTTAGTGGAAAAAATATACTCTAATACAAAGGGGTATATTTTATCATTTCCACCACTACCAATTTTTTTCGATTCATCATAGTCCTGTTGAACTGATGAAGATAATGTGAACATTTTTTTCATTCTTGTGTAATTTTTCATTGCTGCTATTCTTCTTAAAAATATCGGAATGTTGTGGCACAAACGATTAACTCTTCGTACTTCACCGATGGTGGATAATCTATTTGTTATTTCAAAGTACATATAGAAAATGAAGAATATAAATTATAAAAAGATGAATGTGGCCTCAAAGTTTCCTAGTAGACGAGCAATAATCGTAGTGAGAAATGTAATTTGTCGTTTTTGTTGCTATTTATGGTTTTCTATAGCTGTTGTGTTATTAGTTTTCGAGGTTTCAGTGACTGATTTGATATCATTAATCCAAAGAAGATTTTGTGAATAAATATGGTTCGGCAATGCCAAGTCTGTGAAAATAAATTCTTGTTCATGTGGTAATAAAGCTGATGATCCAAAATTCAATATTTGTTTTGATTATTGTTTCCGATTGTAGGATGAACTTCTTGTATTGCTTAATTACGGAGTTTTTTAGGGTGACTCGAAAGTTGCCTATAGAACGTTGAGAATAAAAGAATGAAACACAATAGTATGGAATCATCAGAAATAAATGAAAGCAACATTTCAGAGATTTTTATTAACGATCAACTACTAGACCTCACCGCTGTTGAATTCGTCTCAAAAATAGTCAATTTTTTTGCTATCAACCCACTCAAGTTAATCCAGTACACCGTGTTTATATAGATGTTGTGCCAACTTTTCGAAAATGAAGGTTAATCGAACCTTTCCACTGGTATTTTAATCCTTCAGGTTGGAAAAGTAGGATATAAAAGTTAGGCAAGTCAATGTAATTTCAGTTCATTGATGAAGGCCAGTATGTCCGTCCACTCTAATCCGACTTTTTATATATTTCCATGATGCCCAGTTTCCACCATGCCCACTTTTCATATTGTCACGAAAGGAATTTTTCAAATTATTCTCAAATATTATTATAACTATTATTATTATTTCACTGTTCCAATTTATCGAGTCCGTTATATTTCTCAGCAATTCAACTGTCCTCATTCGTGACAAAACATTTATCTTTTTTGACTTTTGGTCCGAATAGCGGACGGTTGCTTGTGGCAACGGGGATGTCCCAATTGGGACATCCCCAAGTTTCTGTGTTATTGTGAGTACCATTTTCATTATTCATTAAATCTTCAACCTAATGCCTCTTCAAGAAATGTCAAAATTGTAATTCATCATTAATAAATCCATATTTGTTTTTGTTGTTCAAACTTAAGTCTATTTTATCGAGTATGAACCCTTAGCAAATCCCAACCAGCAAAGAAAATGAGTCACATTCGTGACAATATATTCCCACGATACCCAAATCCCACCATGCCCACCTTCATCATGGTGGGAATACAAAGAAGGTGGGCATGGTGGGAATTGGGCATTGTAGGAATTGGGCATCGTGGGAATTATGGGCATCGTGGGGAGTGGGCATCGCGAGATGCTCCCCAATACATACATACCTAGACTGGCGGTCATACCTTCGAGGTCCTTCGGCTTCCTCTTCCGCGGTCGCCCCTTCTGCCTCGGTGCGGTGGGCGCACCGTTGAAGAAGGGCGGCACCTTGCCCATCGGCTCGCCGGCGGGCAGCAGCGGCGCGTGGGCGCGGAAGTCGGGCGAGGGGAAGGGCGGCGGGTAGGCGTGGGGCGGCAGACCGAGGGGCGGGTAAGGGTCGAGCGGGCCGCCCGCGGGCGGGACCTCGAAGTGCAGGTGGCAGAGGACGGAGCCGTTGCGCATGCCAAACTGGTTGCCCTAGAGAAAATAAAAATACAATAGGGTGGACTGGGGTAAGTGCAAGAACGGGATAAGTGCAATATTGGGTAATTCACGAAACGCCACTGGAACTATTCATCGGTAACTCAGCTCAGACAACCAACAATACTTCCTCCCATATGCATTAAATAGTTCCGTGTTGTTCGGGAACGATTCTTGCGCTACCGACAGTAGTCGTTATTTTTTTCAAATGCACTAACACACTTTTCCCATAAAATTACTCTCTGGGAAAAGTGTGATGAGTTTGAAGGGGCAAGTGTGGACGGGTTTTCACACCTGCCCCATTATTCTTGTGAGAATTAATTTGGCAGAACGAGATTTCGCCATGAAACTCTAAGCATTCATCATTTCCAGGTATGGTCCAAGATGATTAGAAATTACAAAAAACACTCTGATCGAGCTGCATATGACGAAAATCACCTAAATGAAGCAGTAGATGCCATCACGGAGGGCGGATCAACCATTTCAAGAGCCAGTTCTGACTTATGATTTTAATATTCCTTACAGCCCCCTTAATATTAGTTTCAAAGGTCTTCGTGGGCAGAAAAGCAAAACTCAAGGCAGACCGACCGTCCTTTCTTGGCAGGCTGCATCAGTATTTGTTGAAAAATATTTTTGTTCCTGTTTTTGAGCTCATTTATACAAAAAAAGTTATGTTTCCTGCTCTATTTAGTGTTTAACTAACTAAAATTCAGGTTAACATTTCGAAACATAAATCTACGATCTGGTCGGAATTTGACCAGAGTCGGACAATAATTATTATTGGAAACATTACACGGCGATCAATTTGGCTTATTTATTTGCTGGCTGGTTCTTTCTGCCGGTGAGTGTAGAGTGTAGATTACTTTAGAATACAATGATGTAGAAAATATCATATATGCTGAAAGGTATACACATTCAAACGTTCACTTTTATACATATTTATGTCAAAAAATAACAAAAAGGAACAAAGTAGGAAAATTAACACAGTATACATTTCAAAATTTATTATTGAAGAACTCATCGGTTGAATAAAAAACTGACGGATATACTAGTAATGTCATGAGTAGGTGGAGTGAAGTTATTGTTTTTATTTCGGTAGGCAGACAATTGATATACCAAATAACGGTAGGTATGGGTTTTTGGCATAAAGTTGTTCTATGCATTCAAATTCAAATTCAAATATTCTTTATTGTCAGAAGATTTTGCATCCCATTGACAAAGGTTTGTGAGTACATATAAATATAAACATAACTAATAGTGTATAGATATGAACAGATAAGTAACAAACAATTTTAGAATAGATCAAGTACAAATACAATAAAAGTAAAATAGAATACACATATTTTCAAAATGATTCATTAAAATACTCTTGTAGGCTATAAAAGGGTCTATCAGCTAGCAAATTTCTCACTGCTTTCCTAAAATGCACATTGGTCAGATTTGCAGATCTTATATCTACTGGTAAGTAATTGAAAAGCTTTCCACCATTATAAAAAATGGAATCCTTGATTAATGTTGAGTTGGGTATGGGAAGTATGATATTAAATATGCTATTACGAGTAGCATACGGAGAAGAAACAAAGTCCAACTCCGTTTTGTGTTTGTATACCAGGCATACAGTTTCAAGAATAAACAGTGCAACGACAGTTAAAATCTTATTGGCAGCAAAATAATTCCTGCATGAATCCCTAGGTTTGACCTTACAGAGACACCTTACAGCCCTTTTCTGTAATATCAACACAGAAGAGAGAAGGGCTGCACTGCATGTTCCCCAAAAAGGTATTCCATATCTTATTTGGGAGTCAATTGTAGTTTGTTCAGAATGAGTCAACCCTCCTTGGATATTTGTGGGACTGGGAGTTTGATTGTAACTCAATTCTAATTCTTCCATGCATACAATAATAGTAATATATGATGTGGATATTTGGTGTTGTTAGAATTTCGAATTCCTTGAATTTGGGCATAAATGAATTAGTTCGTTCCATATCGAATATGAGCTTCTCAGCTATATGAATACCCGAATACTCTGATGTCAATGTGAGTACTACTTCTCCATAATATAATGATGTAAGCCTATTTTCAGGCATGATCCCTTTTGGATTTGTTCACATTTCGTTACCGAATATAAAAAAAAAACAATTTGATAGCATTAATATTATTCATTTGGTATAATGTTAATGTGATGAATGAGCTTGCATCTGCATAAAAAGTTTTGAAATTCTTGGTTGAGTATGCATGTCAAAGCCGGTCTTATGGTATCTTGAACATCCAGTTTATTTCTCGCCTGTGTTTCAATTTGCAAAAGAGTTCAAGAACCACTTTCACAAAGTTCAGTCGAAGCAAATTGTACTAGTACCCGGAAAGAAAGCAGAGCGATATTAGGATATTATCATGAACAATGTTTGGCACACAAAAATTGAGTCATCGGTTGTTCCTGGGATAGGGCACGTGCTGTTGAATCAATTTTGAGATCTAAAAATTCATCTGCACTGCGGACTGGCGAATGGTGGCCGGTAGAATCGGTAGAGAATAGAATCACTCCCACACAGCACATTATATTCAATGGACGTTCGGTTTACGTTCAGCTTCAGTCCAAACATCCATGAGCGTTAAAATAACGTCCATTGAACGTACAAGACAAGAAAGTACAGTTGTCATTATAAATGTGTACTTCCATTGTACGTTCATATAATGTGAATGAAGAAACTTAGTTATTGATTCTTATAATGAATAATTATCTCGTTTAAACTTTTTTGTTTTCATCCAAAATGGACATTTAAATATTATTTCATTGTGTCCTCTGACACCATCATCATATACAGCTTGCCCTCGAACTTTGAGGTCATCAAATATATGATCGGTGTTCTAACACACAAAAAATGTGAGAAAAAAATGCATATCATATTGGATTGTCAAGACGATTGAGGAATGATTCTCAGAAGACAAAACCTTGCTATAGTGGTGAAAATCCATAATTAATTATTGATTTAATAAGTACATCCGTACAGACAAATGTATCCTTTGACAGGCATCGTCATATATACAGCTTGCCTTAGAACTTTGAGGTTATCGGTTATCTAACACACAGAAGATGTGAGAAAAAATGCATATATTGGATTGTCATGATGATTATGAAATGAATAATGATAATATTGAAGTACCTTGGTTAAGATGGCATTGCACACCTCGCAGGAGAAGCAGTGCACGTGGAAGACGAGATCCTTGGCACGCATCACGAGTTCTGACGACAAAATGGTCGCCTGACACCGTGCGCACCTGCGCATACCGAATATCCTGCAAATAAAAAAAGTCTATTAGGTTCATTCAGGTTCCGATTTCACAACTGTTCAAGAATCGTTTTTGAACTGCGCAAAACTAGTGCGCAATCGTGCGCATCCTAGGATTGTTTTAGAACAGATCCCATATTATGAAAACCCGAACGCGGCAAAATAAAACCTCTGAGAACATAACCTCTATCAAAAATTTGCGAAAAAACAATCGTTTCTGTATAAATGAATCTATAGAAGATTCATATTATGGTGTGTGTCAGGTCGAAGAAAGAATACTGTGAATTTTAGGAAGATATAATGGTTAAAATATTCCATATTCCATCATTTGTAGCTAGATTCTCAACATGTTGTCCCTTGTACCTACATGAAATTCGACACCGAGTACCCACCTTGAATGATCAATGGATTGTGTATCTGGATGTAATTGCAAAGTCTCTCGAACATATCGAAACATAACAAAAATTCAGGAATTATCAGATTAGGTACAATATTTTCAGCAACTTCAGCACGGAACTCTTCACCACTGCTTCCTAAGGACGATGAAGAACTACTATACCACTCAGATGAATTTACTAACTCCATAATGTTGAGAAAATATTGAAATGGGCAACAAACAGCAGAAACAGAATAAACAAAAATATAATTAACGTTAAAACAGACAGAATCGAAAACTAAATGAAAATGAGCATGCGCCAAAAATATTCCCAGAACGGTTCACGCTCGAGAGCAGGTACTGGATTCGGATAGTTCTAGGACCGTCCCAGGACGATTGTGAAAAAACCCGAACGCGTGAAGAGTCTTTTTTAGAACAGTACAACAAAACCCGAGCGCGACCGAAGCTACTGACAGTTCTAGAACAGTAATAATTGTTCGAACCCCGAAATTGGAATATTATTATATTCCGCGAATAACTTCCGTTTGTTCGGTTTTCACTGTATCTGATTAATTATACTCTCCAGAAATTCCAGAAACCTCTTCTCAAAACTATCCTCTCAAGTGATGGAAGTTCCTATTATGTTTCTCAACAAAATTGATCCAATAAATAGGTATTATATCTTCTTGATACATTTTGTCTTCGACCACTTCAATAGAAGAGGCCCTGAGACGATGATGAATAATTATATCAGAAAATCATTCCATCGTATATTCAGTTCACAAGTTACAATGAGATTTCAACTCGTCAATGTGTTCATCAGATCCTCAAACCCATGTCGAGACATTATTGTGTCCTAATAATTCAGAAAGATGGGCGTTGTTACCAAGGTCCTTTTGTTACATCAGTTGAAACCTCTCTGTTTTGTTCGCGACCTTAAGTTTCTACTGCCGCTGCTTCAACTACCTGCTGGTGATGACAATTTTCATTTGCTATTAACTTTCTTGAACTCGTTTTGATATTGTCGTATTGCTTGATACTAGTGCATTTTACTCTCCAGACTTCATTTAATACAATATGCTTCTAAATGAAGTAGCTAGGAAGAGAAAAGTGGACATAACCCTCACAAAGAAATAACCTTATAGACGTGTTTCGGACTTTGGTCCCTCATCAGTTCGGTGGAAGAAAGTGCAAAAAATAGACAGGTAGAACGACGAAGCAACAGACGGAGTCAACAAAGAGCACCAGACCCTGAGATCTCAGGGAAACAGCTAACGTCACCACGGAGTCAGCTATAGCTACCTGCGTAACAGCTGGGTCTTTCTACAAAGTACTGCCTTTCATTTGCACTTCCTTTCACCGTACTACGAAAGCCCGAAATACGTGTATTTTTATATGAGGGCTATGTCCACTATCCTCTTCCTAGCTACTTTACAGTTTCTTATTATGTTCTGGTTCCCACGAAAAGGGATATCCTGTAATGTTCAGAGAACATCGTGGGAACCAGAGGAAATAAGGTAGGAATTGGAGTTCTTCTTGAATTTCTGGAGGTTATATGCCTAGGGAAACATCTCCCTTAGCAATGTGTTCCAGAGCCTCGCTGTTCGTTGGATGAACGAGTCTTTGAAAAGAGATGTTCTGCAGGACTCCAAAGTGACCATGAAGGGGTGCGAAGCCTCTACTCGACGGGTTAATCTCGCGGGGACTGCCAAGGGAGGAACAATTGTTGATATTTCAGAAGAGCATCGTCCATTAAAATATCTATAAAATAGAGCCAGGTCGCCAACTTTTCTACGGTGTCCCAGAGAAGTGAGTGAGTTTGTGAGCAAGACATCACCCACGAGACGAATTGCCTTTTTTTGGACAGAATACAACAGTTTCATGGTATGTATGGGTGCTGCACTCCAAATATAGGAACAGTATTCCAGGACAGGTCGGATCTGTGCCTTATAGATCATATGCAGCTGACTGGAAGTGAAATAGCTCCTGGCCCGAAACAGAAAACCAAGTTTTTGGGATGCACTTTTAGCAATTGATCTCACGTGATTTTCCCAAGAGAGGTTATTGCTGATAGTGATCCCAAGCATCGAAATGGATGTCTTCAAAGGTATTGTTACTCCTGACAAGCTTATGTTAAGTTATTGGATCCCCATATTTATGTTGTCAACATTTCTCCCTTGTTCGTTTCTGATTTTCCTGGCTAGAATTGAAGCCTTGGAAGAGAAGGCGGTATGGAGGGTTGAAGTGCCACGGCTAAGGTTTCGCCATATTTTTCAATAGATTGCTCCCATATATTATGTGAGACGTAAGCGAGCAGGTCACCAGTTGATCTCTGATGACGGAAGCCATATTCCCTCGATAGTACTTCTATATAAACATATAGTAGTCCTCTACACTATGTAAGTGATAATTCACAAGGTCTGGAAGACTTATTGAACATCAGGTCAGTTACTAATCAGACGTCATTGGAAGGAAATAAATCTAGATATCAGAGCCCAAAAGGATAGATTTATCTTGTCTACCGTATCCAATAGTGTGAACATAAAAATAAAAAAGAAGGAACTGTTCGAGTAAGTAGAATGAAATATGGAACTGCATGGCACTTAATCGAATGAAGTATTATAACATTATATTACATTCGGATAATGCTATTAGTCTTCTATTGTTGAAACCAATGAATCAATTCTACATAATAATATAATTCGAAAAAGTAATGGAGGTAGCGGTGGCATATTTATGAATAAAACAGCATTTGGAATAGCCCCAATAAATCCAGTTCCCTGTGGATAAAATATATAATACGCAAGAGCCGAGCAAAAAACTCGAATCGTACGCATTAATGGCAACATGAAGTCATAAACAATAATTCTGTATTAAATCAGTTTTTCTTCGCCAGTACTTTTACCTCCGTACGCGTAATTTACATGCAAGCGAACCTGCATTTCTGAGCAATCTAGTTTTATTTCTTTTGCTCCGCGCCACATTCATATGAAGTCATTCCATTGCTAATTTAGTGCGAATTTCTATTGACATATCCAGGCAGGCTGACTAAGTAAATACATACGAATTTGCATAAGGCATCTCATAAGTTTACCAGTTAACTGCATATCTGTGGGCAGGGTGTCAATCGGAATTAAATTTCATGTCCGGAGTGGAGGAGAAATGACATTGGCAGACATTAATAGTAACGGTCCGATCTTGTAAATTACTCCTGAACACTTGTAAAATGTTCTCGGGGACTTTTTCAATGGCCCTTGCCATGAAGATATGCAGATTGTAGTTATAGCTATGTCGACTTCTGTACTCGCAGATATTCTACAGTCAATTTCTCAATCGAAATTTCAACTACATGGAATATGCATATAAGTATTCATTCAATAAATGTAACTGTGAAATCTGACGTTATAATAAATTCACCTATAGGACATTCGGAAGACTGATTCAATCCTGTTGAAGAACCTGCGATTTTATAGGTATATTGCAGTGGATCGGTTTCATGAAAGTACCTGAAAATTATTATAAACGCGATTCCGCTAACTCTTGATATCTGGCAATTCAGTCATTTTAATAAATAAATAACGTTGGAGAGATAGTCTATAATTTCCTTCATTGATCAACACATTAGTGAACAATATAATCGAACGTAAAGGAGTATTATGTACTTCAGGGCATAAAACGGTACTTTCAATACTTCCTTCGAGGGACTACACTTGCAATTTTAATCTCTCAAAGATAAGAAGCGAATGCTGACAGTTTTTCTCGAACGCTTTCAGGTCATATCACTTTCCGATATCAACAACAATATGATAACCACCCCCCCCCCCCCCCCATCCGTCAGCAAAGTTCCTAAATGTACTTGACACTGCTGTTTTGACGTATTTGTATATGGGTTGCGTTCAAGAACTGTCAGATGACTTACCTTGGAGGTGAAACATTGTAGGGAAACGACACGTGTTTCAGTACAATAATCTCCTCCTAAAAATGCTTATAACTATACTACTCCTACAATATAACCAAATGGAGTAAGTAACATTGCTGATTATATAATTTGATCGAAACAGTAACGAACAAATACAGCTTATACTAGGCTGATGGCAGAGAAAATTAGTTAGTGTACACAGTCTGTCCAAGATGAGGTTGCAGAGCATGGGGATCTCGAAAACGGTATGAGATACGAAGTCGGTTGAATCGAGAAAAGTGAATTTTTGGAATATCTATTCAATTTTTTTCTCCGTTTTTTTATCGCTTGGAGCGTACGAAAGGGAATCCCTATAATGTTCGAAGAACATCGTGCGTTCCTAGGAAGGATAGGGATAGGAGGTAGGTATTGGAATTTATTTGAACTTCTGGAGATTATATGTTGTTGAGAATACTTCCTCAGGCAATGAATTCCAGAGCCTATAGCCGTTCTATGGATGAAGAAGTTTCGATAAAGTGCTGTTCGACATCTTTCGAGGTTGACAACGAGAGGATGTGCTGACTGGGCTTCTCTAGTTCGTCTGAATGGTATTATTATATAGAGATACAGACAAACTGAAAAAACTTTTTCATAGCAACTGTTGATGACGTTTAACGTGGTGATAACAATATTTTTATGCGACGTTTTCGAATTCGTAGAACCAACTTTTGTG